TATTATATACAAGATCTGAACAAAAATCACAACAGTATGAAGAAGATGAGGGTTTCTTCAATCAGCAGGTTTGCGTAAGGAAAAAATAGCTACAATGTGAAACATGAAAGCAACACTAAGTTTTTTAAGCAGGTGCTGAGGTTTCTTTTCAGGTGAGCTGCCCCAGGAATTAGATTTGGGCATGGTCCCTTCCCCATTGCATGCTTCTTCTGATCTTCTTGTCCTTAAGCTTCCAGTCTACCATCACACAGACAGTTTCTCTTCACAATATTTCATACATAAAGTACAGAACACAGGTGAGGAACGGGATTTAAAACTGTCCAGATGAAAGAGAGTGAGCTGGCTCTGATGGAAGAGCTGATTCACTGCTCCAGGTTTACATGGGAGTAACCTCACTGAAATAAGGAATTTCACTCCTCCAAAACCAAGAGCTGGGTCAGACTTAGCTGAACGATGGACTTCTGTATTCATCCAGAAGATTAAATGGAGTCTCCCATGTTTTTCAGCTGAGTCCTGCACACCTGACATAGGCAAAACAACCACTGCACTGTGAGCAACATGATGACAGAACTGGGCACTGAAGGGCTGGACTGCATAGCACCACAGAATTTCAGAAAATACTGACAATCTGGAAATAAAGTGTCTCCCTCATGACTTTATGAACTCAGCTCCAGTGGAAATTTTGCTTATATAAAGTTGAGGGGATGAGGCATGTACATACAAATATTAAATTCACGTTAAGGGGACTAAATTTGGCTTAAGTGGAATATGCCTTTCATCTCTCCTGGTTTTACTGAGTATTTTGTTGCAATTCTTTCTTTATTAGTGGGAAAGCAAATCAGTGTGTTTTAAAATTGTTCCCACTGTTGTGAGTATAAACTTCCTGAAGATTTTAGCCTGTTTGCAAGAGATTGAGTAAAATAAAGATTTTTTTTTTTTAGGTCAACATTTTCTTCTGGCAGACTGAGCCTGAAGTGCACTTTATTTCCCTTTAATTTAACAGCTCCAGCAGCTTTTCCAGTTAAATCGACTGTTCATTATTGAGCCCATTTATGAAGGGCTGTGCAGTGCAGTTTAATGAATCCCTGGCACAAAGCTCCCTTTCAGTGTAGGGAAAGAATAGCAGCCTATTTAGGTCCTGTAGGGCTGTATGTCAAAGGCTGCCTATAATACTTGTCAGGGAAGGGCAGAAATTCCCACTGATATAAGAATGTGCAAGAAATCAACTTTCACAACCAACTCGCCGATTAAGACGCGATCAGGAAATGAGTCTGTAGGTTGGGAGCAGTGACACCTGTTTGGGCAGCCAGATTTTCCCATAACTCCATCACCATATGGGCCATACAACCAGGAAAGGGGGAAAAAAAAAAAGAGAGCCCTCCCTCCCCTGTTGCAGAGATTTTCCTACTTTCACGCTGCCTTCCTGATGCCGTGATGAAAGGAAAATGGGTGTTGTGAATTGTGAGAGCTGGGCTCAGCGCTGGATTTGGTTTGCCTCCCTAGGAGAAGGTTTTGCTAGTGATCATAAAATCATGGAACAGTTTGGGTTGGAAGGGACTGTAAAGATCACCTGGTTCCAACCTCCCTGCAGTGAGCAGGGACATCTTCAACAAGACCAGCTTGCTCAAAGCCTCATCCAGCCTGGCCTTGAACACTTCCAGGGATGGGGAATCAACCACCTCTCTGGGCAACCTGTGCCAGTATTTCACACCTCTCATCATAAGACATTTCTTCCTTATATCAGCCTGAATCTATTTCCTTTTAGTGATGAGGCGCAACGTGAGATGTTCCTTCAGCCTGAATCCCAGTGGGATCCTGCCCTGCCATGGCAGGATCCAGATGGGACACTTGGACACTGAGGTGGGTGGCTCCATGAGCTTCAGGAGGGCAGACAGAGCTTCTGCAGCTGGCTCCAGTGAGGAGCTGCTCCACAGAAGTGCTGGCACTGTAACGCAGCCCTCAACTCTGAAAGGCTTCCTTGATTGTGGAAACTGCTCTCCTTTCTGTCCAGCCTGGTCTGCAAGGATAACAAATTGTTCTTCTTGTGAAGGGCTCGATCGTTTGGCCATGAGCTCAATCTATGGCCAGAGCAAAGCATTAGTGATCAGGGCATCCTGCTCCCTTTGATTCTCGGAGTGACTCTGCCCTGGTTTTCTAAAGAAGCCAAGCTTGATGCCAAGGGCGTTACTCTCAGAAGCCTTTGTTCAACAGCCAGAGGTGGTTGAGATGCTGCTCCCTCTAACAAGCAAGAAAATGAACAAAACCAGATAAATTTCCTAGGCAAAAGTGTGCAAAAAAATACCAGTATAACCCCTGGAGCCCATTAGTAAGCACTGAGTGCTCTCCTGTGGGATGAAGTTTTGGGGTGGTGGAAGCAATTCTGCAGCCACTTCACTCACCCCAGTCTGTTAGGGGTAAAGTGCAGGGAAAAGGACATCTGATCCAAAATTTTGCCTGGGGTTGGGGCTATTTTGTGGGTCTAAACCCAGCATTTCCTGGACATTAGACCCTGCTAGTGAGCTGAGGTGGATAGCTGGGCCTGAGAGTCATCACGAGTGGGCTGAGCATCAGCATCCTGAAAGGGCACAGGCAGAAGACACGCAGGCTCATACAGCTGCTAGAAAAGAGATGTTTTTCAGAAATAATCGAACTGCTATTTCCTTGAAAAAAATTCAAGTTTCTTTACAAGTTGTTGACATCATGTGGCTTAGCAAATTTCCCTCCAGGCATTGCCCAACTCGGGGTAATCAGCTCTGCCTGAGAGAACACAGAGAATAAGCATGTTTAATGCAATTATGAAGGCTTTCTAAATCTCCAGATCTCGTTGAGAATATGTAAATTCAGCTGCTTAGCACAACTGAATGCAAACTTTCCTTTGCATGCCTGACAATTGTTTTAATACTCTCCAAGTTTTAGGAGGTAATAAAGTCTCCCGCTAAACCGTAGCTGAGCTCTCAAAGCTGTTTAATTGAATGAATTCAGCCTTACAGAAGAGAAGCTGGGGCTTTCAGCTCTTTTTTATCTGAGCCACCGGATATTTATCCACTCTGCATATAATGCCACCCAGACTCATTAACAAACCCTTTAGACAAGCTACGGAATATTGCTGCTACGATGCTGAAGCGGATGCTAATTTGAGGACAACTTCATTGCTGCTCTGTTTGAATTATTTCATGTTGCTCACATAAGAAACAGACCCAGACTGTCTGCACATCCCGTGACAGTGGAAGGACAGTGACCCCCGTTTTCTAGACCCATGTGCAGTTCAAAGTGGCCTCACAGGGATGCAAAACTATCTAGTGGAGCACACGGGGGATGTATATGTTGTTCTTTACATTTTCCCATCAATAAGAGAGCTCGGAGCAGGCTGCAAACCTTGACAGGGCTTGACAGGGCCTGAGGGTAACAGCTCGGATCGTTAATCCCTGTCAGTTGTACTCGAGATAAGTAGTTTAAATCCACCTTCTATGCAGACATACTCATTCTGACATGGAGAGATACATAAACTTCCCATAGCCCTCTGCCTACCGGGGCTCTTTTGCTTCAATTACACAGTTACACTCAGAGCAAGTCCCGAAATAAGAGAGACTCTGGGAGCCTCCAGCTGAGCAAGTTTTGCAAAGGAGATCTTGTCCAGATGGGCTGGCACCAGAACCCAGGCTGTGCCTGGGACTGTGAGGTTCTGCCTGCTGCTGGGACCCTGCTGAGACCTGGTGAGAGATCAAGAAAATCAGCAATCCTGTTTTGTAGAGGATATTGAGCCTTCTTTTCCTCTCACGAAATATGTGCTTTCTCCTCTTTTCTCTTTGCAATACTTGCTTTGCATTCAACAAGTGTTTCAAACCACAGCGAGGTGAATTTGGCTGGTTTTTCCATTTTACCACTAATTACAGTCCTAGGAGCCTCTCTCACTTTCCTTCTGCAGTTTTGCTTTCTGTTTTTTCCTTCCAATACAAATCTGCTGCATTTCTAATGAACTGATGCAGACCATGAAAACTCACTTTATTTAATTCCAAATCAGATATGGATCTTCATTCAATTTTGGACATATAAAAGCACTGAACATAAATGTGGAGCTGGGTTGAGGGTTGTTCTGCAGCAATGTAAGAGTTTTTTGAAGGCAAATTGAAATACTTTTCCCCATAAAAAAGACAAGATAGCTCTTTCAGGAGCTGTTAACAGTACTTTAAGTGGTCACTTCACTAACTTTTTTACCTTCTATGTGGAAGATTTATACTGCTGCTTCACTAAATCCATGCAACACCACAAGAAAGGTGGTGTAGTGGAAGGTATCTGTGCTCACTGTAGGGGAGTTGAACTAGATGATCTTTAAAGTCCCTACCAGTCAAAACCATTGCATAATTCCGTGACTTTAACTCCCTGCACCCCAGCCATTTGAAATCTCTACTGGATCACAGCTCTGAATTTTCTTAGGACTTGACTAGACAGAGAATACGCCATGTAATGTGCATATCAATGAGCTCGGAAAAAAGCATCCTTTACAAATCAGTTTAAGTGTGTGTATCCTGGCGGCTGTCACAGCGAGAGCATGTCCCCGTGCCCTCGCACCCAGAGCCGTGCAAGCGCCGGGCCTGACCCCAGACGGAGGAAGATGTTTTCTGCCAGCTGAGCAGCTGCAGCAGGGGGGACAAGACTGACGGGGTCTGAAGGGTGCTGTGCACCTGCCCTGGGCTGCCTGCGTGTGTCTGCTCAGGTGATGCCTGTGCACCTGTCCCGGGGTGTGTGTGTGTACACCTGTCCCGCGGGGCTCCGTATCTGTCCCAGGGCGGGCGTGTCCAAGCCCCGGGGGTGATGCTCGTCCCGCCCCGCCGCTGCCGGTGCTCCCGCCCGGGTCGGTGCTTTGGTGGGTGCAGCCGGCCCGGCCCCCGGGCTCCCGGCAGGGAGGCGGGGAGGGCCGGGGCCAGCCCCGCTCTGATCCCTCCTCCTCCTCCTCCTTCCCCGCCCGCCGCCTTTTCCCCGCTGCCGCCGCTGCCGCCCGCCGGGCGCATCCCAGCGGACTCTGTCGGAAGTCGGGGCGGCGGCGTTCGCCGCCGGCCATGGCCGTGCCCGCCGCGCTGCTCAGCCCCCACCACCTCCTCTCCTTCTGCTTCCCCGCCGCCGGCGGGCTCCTGGGCTATGCCGACCTGGAGAAGGGCTACGAGGGCGGCGGCGGCGAGGCGGGGGACTTTAGAGAAGCCACCCGGGACCTGCTGAGCTTCATCGACTCGGCTTCCAGCAACATCAAGCTGGCGCTGGACCGGCCGGTGAAGTCCCGGCGGAAGGTGAACCATAGGAAGTACCTGCAGAAGCAGATCAAGCGCTGCACCGGCATCATCGCCGCCGCCGCCCCGCCGCCGCCCGCCGCCTGCCCGCCCGCCGCCTAAGGCGGGCGGCAGCGGCGCGGGCGGCGGGGAGAAGGCGGCGGGCGGCCCGCGGAAGGTGCCGCTGCGGGACCGCAACCTGCCGCCCTCCTTCTTCACGGAGCCGGCGCTGCCCGGCCCCGCCGCCCGCGGGCCGCCCGCCAAGGAGCCGGAGAAGGGCGGCGGGGGCGGCGGCGCGGAGGCCACCGAGTTCTTCGAGCTGCTGTGCCCCGAGTACGGCGCGCTGCTGCCCGAGCACGCCGCCCCGACCGACGCCTTCGGCGGCCGCCTGCCCGCCGAGCTGGGGCTGGAGCACGGGCTGTACGAGCTGCCGCTGCCCGCCGGGCCGCACCCGCTGCTGGGCGGGCTGCTGTACCCCGAGCCGCCCTGGAGCCCCGCCGCGCCCTGCAGCCCGCCCAGGAAGGCGCCGGCCGAGCCGCTGCGCCCGATCTACCCCGGCGGCGCCGAGCCCGTGCCCGGCGGCAGCGAGGAGCCCGGCGGGCACCTGCCCGCGGGGTTCGCCCCCTTCTTCCCCGAGTGCCCGCTGCCCCCGCCGCAGCCGCCCTACGACTACGGCGGCGGGTACCACCGCGGGGGCTACCCCGGGCTGTAGGGCGGCCGGGGCTCGGGGTCCGCCGGGACGGCGAGGCGGGAGCGGAGCCCGGAGCCCCGCGGGGGCGGCGGACGCTGGGGCGGCGCGGAGGCCGCACGGGGCTCCGCACACTCCGCTCGTGTGAGAGCCCCGCGGCCACGGCCCCCGCAGGATTCACCCTTGTGCACTGCCAGTCTCCTCCTCCTGCGGTTTGGGCGACGCTGCAAATAAAATGTGAAACTTTGGGTTTCTTCAGGTCTTTTTGTAGCGGCCGGTGCCCCCCTTTCATCCTCCTTCCTTGGGGCCAGGGCTTGGCTGCCTGTAGGCAGACGCGTTGCTGCACCTGTAGGCGACGTGGGGACAGGGGCTGCGCTCCTCAGAGGCCGCGGGGACCACTCGTCAGTGATTTTAGTCTAAATCTAAAGCTCGTGTCAACACTTGAGGTGTGTTTAGCGTTTTTCCCAGGCTCACGTTTGTCACAAGTGCTGGCAGGTGTTCAGCTGAGGACACAAAGATGGGAAAGCAAAATTAAAAATGCTGCTACCAAAACTCAGTGTACTGAAATTTTAACAGCGTCTTGCAGGATCTTGCAAAAAGGCAATTTACAGCGATTTGTAAGTTAATTGATGGTGTAAGTTCGGGAGAAAAATGTACTGTAGCCACTGCGGCCATGTGATTCCTACAGACTGTTGGATTTCTTCCAGGAATGTGTCAAAGCTCAGAAAGCGATGCAGCTCCGTCTCATTGTGTACAGGAGATTATTTGATAATCATTTAAGTTATGTAAAAAGAGTCTATGATAGGTCCTATAAAAATAAAGCTACACAATAGATCCGAGATGTGTGGTTGTTACTGCTGTTGAGACGCGGCGTTCAGGGGGCTTTCACCGTGCCTCCATCCTCTGTAATGGTTTCTTGGCAGGAGTTGAGACAGGCAGTGGGTTTTGTCTTTTCTAAATCTTTTGAAACACTGTATTTTATCCACAGCGACCCGTGCTTGTTTGGCCTTCATTTGTACCGTCTGTTTCCGTAACTTGGTAGAAAGAAAGGAGCGATAATAAGCTACAAAGTCAAGGGATGAAAATTGTTACAGTTATGAAAACAGATCAAAATACTCGGAGGTTTCCTATTGAGATGCAAGTTCTCAAAGGCAATCCCGCAGTCTGGCTCCCTGCCAGCCCCAAGTGGATTGTTTGTTTTTTAAACGGGATCCGCATAGGGATCAGCCTGGGGTTTTACCCGCGGTGGTGGTGACAAATCCTTGTGCCTTCTGTGTATTAAAAGATAGTGTGGAAGGTAAAGAATTTTTTTTTCATTCTTCTACCCAGATTTAACTTTTCAGAGATTTTTGGTCAGCATGCTGGGAAGTGTGGAGAGGTGAAACAAAATCTTTTGGAGATAAACTGAGATAATTTGTTTTGGCAAATGTTTTAATTTTACTTTTATAAGCAAGAGCTGTAACTGCTGCCTCCTCTTTCCTCCCCACAAGCTGCCCAAGGTGTCCACAAGCTGTATGGAAAGAAATCACCATGGATGAACATCCACAACACTCCAGCATTTGATAGCTGGGTGCTGTGAGGAAATGCACTTTTCAAGAACAATTTTGCAGCAGTTTATTTCACTCAGCTTCTCAAGAGCATGTATGAGGATCAATGGGCAGCCTGTCCAGCCAAGGTAGCTACAAATTAGGTTAATCCTGCCCTGCTGCTGGTTGTGATGATGGGACTATGTCTGCTCTGTAAGCTGTGTCCTGCCTGCCTTCTTCACTTTGGCAAACCTCCCAGCTGAACACTGCCAGCTCCCAGCAGAGCTTGCATCTAACTGCATATGAGACTACCTGGGCAACACCAGCTGGGGGTTATTTCAGGTGGAGATGTGTTGGGTTTAGCTTCTTTGTTTAGCGCCTACTTCAAGCATGTGAATTTGCAGCATGTCTTGACAGCTGCTCAGAATTATTTCAGCTTGATGATGCTGTGCTAATAATCTCAATGCCCATTTTACTCCTCTGAGCTATGCACCTAAGATTTGTGCTTTCAGCAGGCCAGGTAAATGATGGTGGAGCTGATAATGCAGTGGTCCCAGGTAAGGAACAAACACACCCGTTTTAGGATTTATTTATCTCATAAGCTTAATAGACAAATGTGTATTAACTGGGGATCTAATCCTGAAGATTTTATAACTTATCCTGTCAGCTGTCTCACAGGTGTCAGTGAGATTTTGCTCAGAAAAAGTAAAAAAGAGGTTTTCAGGCATTGGTTGCTCAGAAAAAGTCAAAAAGAGGTTTTCAGGCATTGGTTCTGGGATAGAAATTGCAAACCTGAATGATCTTATTGGTTCTGGGATAGAAATTGCAAACCTGAATAATCTTATTGCCCACAGACTTCACCTTCTTATTCCAAGTAGCCCTGAAGGGACACAAATCTAAGCAGCTGGTGGTTTTTGCTCATGTGGTGCTCTGTTGCCTTGTAGGTGATGACCTGTGGTGCTCAGAAGCAGAGCATCAATCAGCCTTCTTGGGTCAGACCTTGTCTGAAACCAGTGCGAGAAGCAGCTCTGTAGGTGCCAGCAGAGCTGGGCTGATCCAAGGCTGGGGTGGCAGCCTATTCCCAGTGCTGCCAGCTTGGGAGGGTTCTTGTGGGCTTGCAGAACTTTGGGTCAGGCTCTGGGAATCAGGCTGACTGAGCAGCAGCTGCACAAGTCCCTTCAGTTTAGCCTCTATCCTGCTATAGTTCCTTAAGGGGGATGTTCAGATTATAGGAGCTTGCACTGAAAGAAAAAAAAGAAATCTAAAAATCAGTGTTCTTCTACGTATGGCTACACTGCTGCCAGAGGATGTATTTGTATCTGAGGAGTACCTGGCATGGGAAGTCTGATGAGCTTGGAAAGGAGCTAACAACAGCTTTTCCCAACACAGACCAAACAAAAACTTCTGTGTTACTCCTGAGGAACACTGGAGCCCCTCTCCACGCTGTGGAGATGTGAGGGCACCTGAACAGCCCAGGGGTTGCCATCTAGTGAGGCTGCATCTTTGATCTCCTTTGTGCATGTGTGGGCTCTTTTTGTTGGGTTGTTTCCCCCAGCTTGAATAGTGCAGGCACTGAAAACACCACCTAACAGTCTCACTCAGAAACACCCTTGGGAAATTGTTTTCTCCTCTGAAACACTGAAGATCATAATCTTAAGCATCTGCAAGAATAAAAGCTTTTGTAATTGAGCAAGATATTTTGGTTTTTTTGATGTACTTTTATAAGGAGTCTGTCCCTAAGACTAAAGCTGATTCTTTTAAGCTTTTCTGTCTTAAAAGAAGTGTCTCCCTTTGAAAGGAAATGGGTTCTGTTTGGTTGGATTGAGGTCAGACTATCAAACTATTTAATTTTACAAAGCCTGCACGGAGTTCCTCAGCTACACTAAACTCCATTTTATTGCTAGTGTATTTTACACGTACTGCCTGATGTTACTGGAGGTTTTGATGGGAAAGCATACACGTGTTAATAATTTTTCATGTATAGTCGAAGATGATAAAGGGGGATTACAAGAACCCTTGCTTCTCATTTTAAATGAGGGAATCTTAACCTTTCCTTAGTGGTAATTTACTGACAAGTAAGTAAGGGTTCACCATGAATAATTACTACTGTGTCTCAGTATTTTGTGACTTAAATAGTCTGGGTCTATTCCAAAGCCACTTTCAGAAAGCAGAAAAATTCCTTTTATTAAAGTGTTTTGAAACAGGCTCATTAACTATTTCATGGCCAGAGCTTGGGAATGCTCTAGTACAGCCCAGCCATTGATGATGAGTCATCTTTGCTGAGCTTACACAGTTGATCAAAGCGTTAGTGAAAAAGATACAGAAGTTTATTCTAAATTCTTTGTTTTCTGACTTTCTAAATAAAATGCTTTTGGCAACAGTGCAAAAACTGAAGGTCATTCTGCACTTATTGGCAAGAGGAGGAAAAAGGTGGTGGAGCAATTCCATAGAGATGTGCAAGAAATTCAGATGAGACTGTCAGAGTTCAGGCCTACAAGCCCGACTATATGAAGTGAGAGCTGGGAATGCTTTTAGGATAGCTTTGTGTCAGCCAAAGAGGCTGGTGAACACGTCCTTAAAATCCAGTGGTGTTTGTAACACATCTACAAAAACAGCCAAAAATAGAGTGTATGATAATGAGCACTCTCTCCCCAATTCTGTGTGGGTAAATATTGGCAGGAGATTGCTGAAAGGCGATGCTATGAAAGGTGAAGGTGTTTAATAATATTTTTCAATACCACACTGGAACCCTGATTATCCCCTCCCTTGCTGGCAAAGAACTACTTCACCAGCCTGAAGGTTTTTAGGCTTTTGTGCTTTTTGGAGCCCCTCCATATGAAATGTAAATGCACTGTCAAAGCCTTATCTTTAGGGTTGTTATGATTGTAGTCCACAGACCTACGGCTGTCCAGAGGTCACAGACTCAATGCCACTGCATTGCTGTCAGTGGAATGTATTTATAATTACTTGAATAGGCCAGTGTGGGATTTGAGGAATAGGCAGCATTTCCCAAATGATCCTTAATCTTTCCTTCTCTGAAATGGGGGAATCACATCTTATTTATACAATTTGTGTCATCTCCCAGAGGCAGCTAAAACTGCACGATTTACCCTGTGCTCCTTCTAGGTATTCCCCAACAATGTTGGGCATATAAGAAAATGTAAACTGGTCTGCACTGAAGGAGGGAGTAGAGGATTCAGGATTTGTAGTAACGGGTTCTGATGCGCCTGTTAGCGCATGTTTTGTGTCCTAGGATGTCTCCTGGTGGGCATTTTAGACTACTTCAGCCTCAGCAGCTAATTGTAATTCATTCTGTGGGCTCTGCTGAACAAACTCTGGCAAATCCTGCTGTGCCAGATGAAGAGGTGACTGTCTCCATTTCCTGCTCTCTCTTTGCCATAGGTGCCATCCCTTAGCTGCGTGCTGAAGGGAACTGTACCTGTGCCTCTGTTGCTACAACCTGTGATCAGTCCCCCAGTGCATCCTCCAGGAGGGTTTGGAGTGAAGTGGGAGTAGTTTGGCTTAGCCCAGGAATGGCTGGAGCCCAGCTCAGCCATTTCAGCCACAGCTAAGTGAAGCAAATCTCCTGTCAGACTGGGAGTGAGTTAAACCTAAAACACTACGTGACAAATCACTTTACTGGTGCCTGTAGATGGGGAATACAGACTGCTCTCTCTTGGGGAAGCTGGCCATAATTGTTACTAATTTTGTTTTTGTTCAGCTTCATAAAAGACAGAGGCCCACAGTTTCAACCCTTTGTACTTCCACTGTGGTGAAAGCTCAGTGAAGGATTTTTAATTTGATGTTGCCGCAATACTCTTCAATCAGAAGAATCGTGCCTGAGAAGCAGCTGGACCAAGGATGGTGTCACAGGAGAGGTGGTGGCCCAGATTTTGTCCCTTTAACTTTTAATTGCAGAGTGTGTATCACAGGGAAAGGAGAAATGTATAGGGATTGATCCCCATGGCTCATTTCAATGATGTAGCAGACATAACCCTTTTGTCTTCCAAACCTCATAGTGAAGAGCTTGAGCTTGTGCTCAGGACTTTGCTCTGGGTTCAGGTGGACACAACACTCCAGGGTGGCACTCAGAGTCCTGGACCCTCTCTTAGCATGACATTCTTATTTCCTTCTCTTCCCATCTCTCTTTGATGTGTTCAGCTCTCAAGCTCACCAGAATGTTTGGGTATTGAGGCTGAGCACCCTGAAAGGCAATGCAGGTTCATAGTCAGTCTGTGAGATCTCTGGACATCTCAGTGACTGTCCAGACCAACCTGCAGCAGTTACAGATTAAATAACATTTAGTGC